GATAGTGAATTGTGTAGTTGGTAGATCTACTATACCTGGATCACTTAATGTGATAGTGAATTGTGTAGTTGGTAGATCTACTATACCTGGATCACTTAATGTGATAGTGAATTGTGTAGTTGGTAGATCTACTATACCTGGATCACGTAATGTGATAGTGAATTGTGTAGTTGGTAGATCTACTGTACCTGGATCACGTAATGTGATAGTGAATTGTGTAGTTGGTGGATTTACTTGTCCACTTATCGCAGGTGGTGTTGACCTGTATCCTAAAACATCATCATATGCTTGCATCTTATATACTTCGTATTTATATCGTAGTATACCAGATATGTCGTCATGCCAACCATTAAACCTGACAGTTATCCTACGCTGTGTGAACAAAGTAATACAATATTTAGTTGAATTGATCCGCATTGCAATGTATTGCAGCTGAGTCCATCATGAAAGACGATAGACGTCACCGAATAGCTGCATTCGGAAGTGAATTGACTAAACATTTAACGACATCAATAATTATTTGCAATGTAAATAATGGAGTGCTTTGTTATTTACAATACATGTTGATAACGGGATCAAATACGTCACCAGGTCAAAGCAGCAGCCCAAAGAGAAAATCTAATAAATCAAATAAACGCAGGCAATCTATATTAAAGAGCGGTGGTCACGTGAACCGATGTTCAATTAATCCGTGAATAATTATTCTACACTTTTCTTCAGTGTGTTCGTTGTGGCCCTACAGCTTCCTACTAATGAGTGAACTAATATAACTCGAATATAACCAGTTTTTTATATATATTTTAACACCCCATTGCTATGTTACCTATGCTGAGGCGGCAGTACATTGCCGTAACCTGCCATAAAAATATTTAAGACACGAATAATTACATATACAACCATTAATAGGTGGAACATAACATGTTAGGAGAGAGAATATTCATTGTGGAAAACAGGTCTACGCCACTTGTTAATTATATAGTGAAAGGTTCCTTACACTCAATCTGGGGTTTAGACGGTGATAGAATTCATACAAATTGATCCGGAGAAGAAATCGAATTAAACATCAGCAACATAGACATGTATTCTAAGCTAGAAGAATATACAAACCTCATATACGAATATAGGAATTATTGCAATGGGAGATACGTGTTCTTTAGACAGATGACTCATTGTTGACTTACAATTTTAGTTATCGCAGGGCCCCTATCAAGCATATTATCAGAGCAACTTCGGGTTAGGGTACAATGTTCTGGAGACTGATAGTCCAGGATGAAGTCTGCTGTGTGTGCTACTTCCATTCCTGTATAATAAATCTTAGGTCCAATCAGGTAACCGGAAGCTGCGTCATAATTCCTTATTGTAATGTATCCACCATTGTGAGCCTTTGCTGTCAAGTGGAGCCTGTCGGAAAGCAATGAATGCAGAGTATTGTCAATTTGAACTATTAAAACTATTAAGTGCATTCCACGTTTAATGTACACTGTCGATTTATTTTATTTGATCAATTATTAGTCGTACCTGTCTTCATGTTGAAAAGTAAAACCAATATTATCTATGACGTCACATTCGTACATGCCTTGGTGAGGATTGTCTTGACTGTATCCATTAGAACACGTGTCTGTTCCAGTTTTTACAATACTCCCACCTAGATGAACACATTACCGGTGTAAAAGATGTTATTACAGATTTACCAACATACTCATATATGCGTTATAAAAAAGAACTGACAATTTGCATACTATAACCTACCTCTAGTCACCCACCAATCAAATGATGCGGAAATGACGCCCACTTTAAAATCATTGACATAATACTGTTGTGGCCAATCAGCAGCGTCAGGCCCTGTGTAACTGTTATGCAACTCAACCTGTATACGATCTGGTTGGATATTAGTGTAAATAGTTGTCTGTGCGTTCCCGTGATTGTCACAGAGAGCGTACGCTCTGTCGCCTGTCACCTGGATCAGTGTTGCCGAGCAAAAGTGCATGACAGGAGATGTAGTCACTGGGAAGCAACATAGATGACGATAAATTATTATAAAACTAATCTATTATATATATTGCTCCAAAACAACAAACTTCTATCATAACAAGCCAATTATAAGCGTTTGTTATGTACACTAGAGACGTTGCACATTCGAATCGGCAACTTTGGAAAGTTTGAACGATGGGCGAGCAATTACAAGGGTATGGTATTTTTCATTGTTTCGAACCTTTTGCTCCTGTTTATCCCATGTATTCATATAGTGTGTCATTAGGGCTATGGCACATTGAAATATGACAATTTAATCTAAAAATATCAGCAATTTAATTTAAAATATGAAAAACGGATGTGAAATATGAGTATTTAAGTTCAAAACATGAGTAGTTGAATTTAAAAATATGAAAAACAGATGTGAAATATGAGTATTTAAGTTCAAAATATGAGTAGTTGAATTTAAAATTATGAAAAACGGATGTTCAAATATGAGCATTTAAGTTTCAAATATGAGCATTTGAATTTAAAATATGAAATACGGATGTTGAAATTTGATCATTTAAGTTGACGATACAAGCATTTAAATAAAAAATATGAGTATTTAAGTTTCTGAACCACAGTTTTGGGTGAAATAAAAGGATAGCCGCCATCAAATTGGTCAATTAACTGATCCGACGTTACTTAACATATTCTTAAATATTAATTATGATGGTTCTTTTCATAAACTGGAGGTTTTGGCAAGGATGCCTTAAATCCATCACCCAGGCCTACCAGAAATTTAATCGCCCTGCATTACAGATTAGTTTAGAATAATTCCCATTCCAGGCAATAACTCGATTTAATACTACGAGACGACCACAAAGGTCTAAATAGTGTATGTCATTTAATCTTGATCTGAGAAGTGAGTGAGACGAAGTTTTGCTTCTTCGGACATTGGAGTCATATTCTTCCTTTATGGTCCCTTCCTTCTCTTCATTTCTAATAATAATTTTAAGGAGCTCTAATTTGTGGATGTGTCACACACGGTGTACTAATATAGAATGATTGATACAGAGACAACGCGTGCGTGCGTTGTTTCCGTTGCTAAGTAGGCCAACTTATGCAAAGTAGGTCAATATTTATTGTTTGCGCGCAAAGCCGATTATCCTGAAATCAAAGTGAGCGGTCTGCTGTTATAAACACATATCCTAACTTTTAAAAAAAAAAACGCCTTTTTTGGGGTGTACTGGTTACTATTTTGAGTGGGAAACACATCCATTGCATGCAGATAGACAAATGCCATCAAAATGGACAATAAACAAAAAATGTATAAAATTAAGTCTACTACATCCTTAAGCATCATCAGTTATCACTATAGCAACAATACACCTATTACCGTCAATTGAATCTCATCATGAACAAAAAGTTACCAGATTACGTACGTTTTTATTTTGTTGGTATCAAATGTGGAGAAATGTCGCCCACGATTGTTGAGCACCACGTGAACCAAAACATTGACCCATATGATCCTTGTAACATGACAAATACTTGTTTACATAATATGTTCAAAAAAGCGGAACCTTAGCGCTATGTTCAAACTTTTGAAATATACAACAGGATGGTGAATGTTTATTAAGTTTAATTACTCATATTTAAAATTTTAAAAATTTATGTTGCAATTTTAATTGTGACCCCAACGACACACCTTATATTCACGTTTCACTTGCGGATCGAAACATTTTGCAAATATAGCTATTTTGAGCCATATTTAAGGTTTCAAGGATGACGTCAAGAATATGTACATCTAATTTTGACAAGATCTGAACACACGATTTAGTTGACATTTGTAACTACTAGAACTATTCAAATTATTAATAATATTTGGCGTATTTTGTGAAACTCAATAATAATTTTTTGATATTTTGTGAAGTCATGGTCCAATCTGCTTGCCTGGAGATATATAACATTATTACACTGTTTATTACAATGAACTGCCATTATGTAAGGGATATACACATTTATGAAATGTTGTACAGTAGGATAATACCGATTCTCTGTGGCAGACATATTGATGTCGATACTTATTGCCATGTGTTGAATTCAAAATACAATATATTGGCAATCCATTATCACTCTCATGTCTGAGATTATGATGACAGTTAATGTGTCGAGGTAGGTAGCACATCTCTCTACAGTTGCAAGGCGCTTACTGTGATCACAAGTATGAATGTTTCAATTCATGCGTCTTCGTTTGTGTATTGCCAAGTTGAAGTATGTAAGCAATATACACCTACTCTGAAGGCAGTTATCACCACTAAAGTTTGGTGCACACTGGCAAGTTGAGGGCGTTGTTGTACATCGTCCTGGGTAACAAAATTTGCTATCTGGACGCCATGAACATCTTTCTGTAAGTATAATAAAACGAATTTAACGTGTATTAGTATTGAATTCTTGCGCGCCACTTTCACTAGGAAGCCACATTACATCATTATCAATTATAAAAATTCATTCACAAACTGTATTCATTACTCATATGTCACATATCAACGTTAATTCAGCAATGACCAAGATTTGCACATAACAACGTTAATTCAGCAATGACCCAGATTTGCACATATCAACGTTAATTCAGCAATGACCCACATTTGCACATATCAACGTTAATTCAGCAATGACCCAGATTTACACATATCAACGTTAATTCAGCAATGACCCAGATTTGCACATATCAACGTTAATTCGGCAATGACCCACATGTGCACATATCAACGTTATTTCTGCAATGACCCAGATTTCCACATATGAACGTTAATTCAGCAATGACCCAGATTTGCACATAACAACGTTAATTCAACAATGACCCAGATTTGCACATATCAACGTTAATTCAACAATGACCCAGATTTACACATATCAACGTTATTTCAGCAATGACCCAGATTTGCACATATCAACGTTAATTCAGCAATGACCCAGATTTGCACATATCAACGTTATGTCAGCAATGACCCAGATTTGCACATATCAACGTTAATTCAGCAATGACCCAGATTTGCACATATAAACGTTATTTCAGCAATGACCCAGATTTGCACATATCAACGTTATTTCAGCAATGACCCAGATTTGCACATATCAACGTTAATTCAGCAATGACCCACATTTGCACATATCAACGTTAATTCAGCAATGACCAAGATTTGCACATATCAACGTTAATTCTGCAATGACTTAGATTTGGACATATCAACGTTAATTCAGCAATGACCCAGCTTTGCACATGTCAACTTTAATTCAGCAATGACTCAGATTTTCACATGTCAACTTTAATTCAGCAATGACCCAGATTTTCACATATCAACGATAATTCAGCAATGACCCAGATTTTCACATACTGACCACAATTCTTTTTCGCAAGTTTCATTGATTGGATCTTCATTTCTTTCCTTCTTCCTCCCTTCAATCTTTCACGCATTCATCATTTAAATGAATCATTTGAAACAGTTATTCACCAATTATTCATTATTATTTATGATAGTTTTCATGACCATTCGTTAACGTGTGAAATAACACTTAGATGTGTCCCAGTGTTCTGCTTGTGATCACCGAAGACATTTAAACGTTTAAATTGTAAAGTTTCAGTTATGCGATATTATTTTGAAACTTACCGAATACCTTACATTCAATTGTCTTTAGTATCGACTGTGAATTATCAAATAATGTGTTATTGCTGCATCTAGTGTACTACACTATTTCGATTAACCTTAATTTTTGTACATTTGGATTAATGGTTCAATCTAAGAGTTGTGCAGCTACTACGTGTCCCATGCCTCGAAAGGGAAGAGGGCGTTTTAGTCTTTGCTTCATCGTCGTTGACCTATCACCGTTTAGCTGACGGGTGTACCTCCGACATTGTGAACTAGTACCCACAATTTCTGTTGTATTTGACAAGTACAATAACCGTATTTGATCAGTTGAATTTTCCAACAACCAGAATTCATACCACATTTGTGGAAAATTGATACCAACTTACGTTCACATATTCTGTCGGAATATCCACCAGAAGCAATAGGCTCGTATGCTTTGATAGTGCCACCCCTGTCGTAGATACACTGATGACAGCACTGATCCGATGCTGTAGTACATCTTATCTGCTCACAGTTAGTAATAGCTGCACACTCTGTAAGACATAGCTCTGTTATATGTAATTAGAGGTGTTTGTGTGTCGTTTGAAATGTGGTGGTCGTAGAGCCGTCCATGTGCGATATTGGTGTTGATAAATATTGATTTTCCCACAACTCAATGAGCTCTTCTAATAAAAATCACAAGTCAAAACTGCACTGATCTTTCGATACCTTCCAAACACCAAAAATAGTTACATGATTAAAGCTTAGTGACGTCTCGGTTCGTTAGTATGCTTAACCGTCAAAGTCGCTATCAATGTTCATATAAGTCAAATATATCGCGCATGCATGGCGCAACGACCACCGCCCTTTACATATAGTGCAATGAATAATTTAGTCGTGTAAAAAAAAGCTATTGAATATATATATTATTCTTTATTTTTCTATTTACCTACTTATGCAAATTGTGAATCTATCTAGATTGGAAACAACATACTAAAATTTAGATTGTTCAACGCAAGTAGTATAGAGAAAAAACATACGACCCCAAGAACTCAAAACAATGGCTGACAACAATTAACTGAAGCACCATAGTCAAATCGATAAAGGATGATATGTGAATGACATGGTATACATGGAGTCATGAAGTGGTGTCGGGGGTTCTAGAAGCATAAGCAAATATAATTATTACCAAAACTACATAACAAATCCATATTTATTGAATTTAAATATGATGTACCATGCTTACTATAGTGAAAATGTAGTTTAGATTTAATGTATATGTATGATAAAGAATGTGAACATTTTAAACTTTGTTAGCAAAGTCACGTAATTTGAATTGTTGAAAAATATATTCTACTTTAACAGGATTAAAATTTTCTTTATTGTGGGTGTTGTTTGAAATATTAAATAGTATGCATCCGCCTTTTCACAGGATTTAGATGTATATCGCGGGTATTTAGTGTCATATTTCCGTAAAACCCAGATTTATTTATTGTAGCTACCCTGTGTTGCAGTAGAGTTATACGTGGTTAAAAATTTCGTACTGATCGTGGATGCTTCCTAGATTGAAGGGTTACTGCAATGATTATATAATTTAATATTAGAAGCAAAGAAGCATAGTGTAATTGGGGATGTTGGAGTTTGCAATATGTGGGGAGATGCATTGGCTTATATTGTGTAGATAAGGGGCCTTTACTAAGGTTGAAATGGAACCTCATACTAGAAATGAAATAGGGTCCATATTGTGGGTGAAACGGGCTCCCTACTAGAGTTGAAAAAGGGTACCATGCTAAGATTGAAATTAGACCTATACTAAAGATGAAATAAACTCCCATAATAGGGGTGGAATGGGGTCCATTCCGAGATGAAATGGGCTCCCGTATTAGGAGAAAATGGGGTTCAATAACAGAGATGAAATAAAGTCCGATATTAGAGATGAAAAGGGCTTCATATTATGGTTAAAATGTTGAAATGAGGTAATAGTATTTTTTTTTTGTAGAAGCAATTTGAGCAAAAACTAAAAAAATGTGTCAACAAAAAGAAATAGCTTCATAAAGTTAATCAATCAATGTTATCCTACCGTTACATTGGTATGAATGACAATATCCTTCACAATCTTCATGGTAATAATCATAGTAGTATTCTGTATAGTATCGTTGCTCATTCCTGTATGACCATCTACAGAGTATAACACCAGGTATACATACACTTCTAGACGTCTGGTCTGAACCATTTTATATTTAAGCAATAATCCTCGGCCGAAGGCGGATATACCACGAAATAATGCACGACATTGAAGTGAATTGTGCAATATCAAGTGGTATACCCAACTTCGGCGGGGGATTATTGCTATTATATTATACCAGTATATTGACGATTCGATAAAACTAGTAAAAAAAAGAGTTTACTTGCATCTACTTAAGATCAAGATTATGGACCTTGAACATGAATATTTATGAGAGTATTATGTAGTTGTAGACTGAATGCATACAAAAATTGCATACGCAACATAGTTCAAATTGAACACAAACTAATTATTATTCTGCGTGAAAAAGAAACGTTTCCACAGTGAATAGAGCAGCGTAAACACGAACATTTGAGTCGTGTACAGTTTGGATTTTCCACGTTTTCAATCCGTTTTTTGTACAATCAATTTGGACTGTAATTTGCCCTTTGAAAGTACAGTTGCGAAATAAACCGGTTTTGTGACACATCATACTACTTGTAACTGTGGATATTTGACGTTTAGCGGTATTTTGTTCGACCGAAGTTTGAGATGTTATGCCTGATAGGCACGGTAGACTAAGAAATGACTCAGACTCACACAGTGAGTGTTACCTGGAGAACGCCATGTTTATTACAAATGCCCTAAAGCATTGTGGGTTACATCGGGTGACCTTTGACATTAACAATGATGTAATCTAAAAGTATCCTACTAACATCTCCCTTTACAACAATGAAAAAACTTGATTTCTCAAATTGATAAACATAACTGACCTGACTAATCTACTTAACATGGATAAGGGGAGGACTGCCCTTTAAAAATCCATATACTGGTCAGACTGGGAATTATTCTTACCCAAGTGTGTCTGTACCAGCTCACTAACTAGCTACATGTTCATGAAATAATCTTTGTAACGATTCGGGATCTTACTTTGTCTACCACTGCGTGTAGTTGTTTGTTTAACTGGTGAGCATTGTATAGTTGTAGATTCTGTTTGCTGTGATGGATTGTTTGGATCGCTGACTGACACTGAAGGTGGCTCTATTTGTACTGGCTCAGGTGAAATCTCACTTTGTAGTGGTGGTTTCTTGTCACACTGATCTAAGCGTATGAATTTCCGGTTTCTTCTGTATAACTGACCATCGTCTGATTCAATTAAGTAGGAACGTGGACCAACCTTTGCC